CCTTCTTCAGATTCCTCCCCACACTCATTCTCCCCCCAGGTGCTCCCTGTCTCCAGGGATGCCCACTGCCTCAGGTGACACTCCATTCAAGCAGGATCCAAAAATCTCCAGAAACAGGGGAGCCTTTGTAGTGTAATTCCCACTCCCCATTACACCTAGAATATGGAGAGCAATATATTGTCAAAAAGTAGATCATATAAATTCATTCCCAAATAATTTATGTTCTAATAGAATAGCTTTCTTTAACTATGTGTTTAAGGGGGAAGATTTACAACACAATTGAAGACTTCAGAGAAAACAAGAGAAACATATTCTAATCTACAGTGTTTTCCTGATATGACATGTGCCCCCCCACAGTACTGCACAGAGAACAGCCTACTCATAATCTCCTCCTCCCAGATAATGGCTGTTCTGCTCTGAGGCCTGGATGGTTATCACAAAGTGCAGCACCTCATGATGTCACCAAGGAAAACCAGTTCAGTGTGGCTTCCTGGTGCAGGAACAGGGAAAGTAGTCAGTGAAGTCTGCTACAAATACCTGTGATAGATAAATGGGGCAGAATTTTCTGGTGACAAAAAACAATCATTTAATAAAATAGTTTATGGAAGTTGTATAGTTTTTTAATTTTATAATAATATTTTGAAACGTGTGTATAAGAAACTTTTAGAAATTAAAAAATTAGTAATGAAATCTTACAACCACCTATAATCTGATAGTACATAGTCCTTTTAAAGATATGTATATGTATATTTTTAAATGTACAGATTAAAAAGTTATAAATTCCTGCATTTAAACTCTGAACAATATTCAGAAAACTAGGCTTTCAAAAACTGTTTTTGGACCCTAACACAAGTGATGCCAAGATGGTAAATAGTTGAGTATGATTTTATAAAGTGGAAAGAATCACCATCATTCTGCTTTTATCCTCTCACGTCTGTATCCTTTCATTCAGTATTATGTACATGAGGTTCCCCCAAGCCATTGCATGTGAGGACAGTTTATTCATTCTCTTTGCTGTGCAGTATTCCAATGAATAACCATGCTAAATGTTTTTGTCAAATACCAAATAATGCTACATCAACCATTTTTGCACAAGCTTCGTATGTACATACTTTCTCATTTCTATTGGTTACAAAACTACTGGTGGGTTTTTATGGGCAGCTGCAACAGAAAATTACCATATAGTTTTCCAAAGTTGAAAGTCAGTTCTGACTTCCGTCAGTGAGTGAGAGGTGTAGACGTTACACGTTCAAACAGATACTTGATATTAATATTGAGAATCATTCTAATGGTAGCTGCTCTTTAGGTGAGTCATGATATAGCATGTACATACAGAAAATGCTTAAGTGGTAAGTATACATCTTGTTTTTAAAAAATATCCTAGTAATCAGCATCCAGGTCAAGAAACAGAACATTATCAGAATCACTAAAACCTTCTACTTCCTCCCTTCTTTTTAGTTCCCTTTAGTTCACACATCATACTCATCTCTGCTTATAGTAGCTAGAAGCATAAGCAATCTGATTTTAGGTACATTTCAGTTGTCTTATAGGGGAATTGTGTGCCAGTTCAATGCTATTATCTTTGTGCTTGTAGGTTTGACACCCATCTCTGATTGGTCTTCAGTCTAGTCCAGTTGCACTCCTGCCATCTTGCTGCTCAAGACAGGACCCAGTCCAGAGGTAAAATTTCCAAGGCCATGGGGTTAAAATGGACATATTATTACCACAAGAAGCATCTCCTGTTGTTACTCTGTCATACTGTGTCTCAGAATCCCAGAAACAATGCCTCCTTCAAGAACAGAGCTGTCTCATTGTCCTCCTTGGTTTTCCCTAGCAATTTGAAGTGTTTCTGAAACTGGAAAAGACACCATGTTCATGTTGCCTATCACGCGCCAAACCCGATAAGCGATAAGCAAAAACAGAGACTGAATTTTTATGGGCCCTTTATTCAGATGGCTGGGGATCTGAAAAGATGGTAGGTTTTCACCCTTTCAAATCAATAAAATATATGTTTTTAAAAAAGAAAAGAAAAAGGAACAAAAGAATTGCAGACAGCAGCCACAGAAGGGAGTTGACTTCTTGCCATTGAAACCTACCTGTGTTCTGGGTCCAGTTGCTGTTGTGTAGTGGAAGTCACGGAAAGAGAGGAGGCTGAGGAAAAAAATACATTGTCCTGTGCACCCAGAATGAGCCCAAAAGAAAAAGAACATTACCAGCATCTCAGAAATTGTCCCCACACCCATCACAAATTGATGTCCAGTATGGTGGATCAGTTTGTATGTTTCTGAGATACACAGTAATGAAGTCATATAATATTTTATACATCTTCCTCTGGCTTCTTTCACTCAACATTATGTTTGTAAAATTTCTTTATGCTGCTGTATGTGGAAGTACTTTATTCATCTTGATTGCTGTGTAGTTTTCCAATCCACAAACTTATCATGAAGTCATTTACCAAATCTAGACCATAGGTCAGCAAACTATAGCACATAAAGTTTATTGAAGCTGGGATGCAACAATTCTTTCTACATTGTTGATGTTTCCCTTTATGAAACAAAAGCAAATCTCACTGGTTGTGGAAAAATTTTATAGTCTACAAATCTTACAAAAAATTCACTTCTTATCTTTTTAAAGAAAAGTTTGTCAACCTCTGATTTAATGTGTTGAGAAAATCTGAGTTGTTTTCACATTTATACTGCTATAAATAAATCAATGGTGAATATTGTGTACATGTGTTCAGGTGAACATGTTCATTGGTTTCTTTTGAGTATAATACTGAGATTTTCATTTTGGTCATAGACTGTATATATGATTAACATCTATGAAGTGCTTCAAATGGCTTAGGCAGTCTTCTCAACCTTCACTTAGTTAATCATGTAACAATCAATGACACACAGATGCACATACATACTCTTCTGAGGTATTTAGTATATGCTTTAAGACAGCCAGTGATAGTACATTGTGTCATTAACTTTGAGCAACAATTTTAAACCCTTTAAATGTTTTCTTATACTTTGGGTCTATAAACTGCATAGGACTATGTGAAAAATGAGTGTTCGGTATAATTCCTGTGAGAGAATTTGTGTGTGTGCTGGTAGGGCTGTTGCAGGTTGCCAGTTAGAGCTTGTGATTAGGGAACTAGACACATCTTAGAAAGTTGTATCTCACAAGGAATCTACCTTCAGTCCTGTGGCTTTCTTGGTGGTGTTGGGTATGTGTTTGTTTGTTGAACTGTAAATCAACAGGTTCAGCTTCAGGATTTCCATGTGTAGAACTGAGATAAACTTACCAATACTGGAAGAAGACTCCCCTGATGGGTGGACACAGAAGTCAGGTGAGAGGCCCATAGAGAGAAGGTTTTCCTCTTCCCACTGAAAAAGCCTTTAAGGCTGAGAAAATAGTGAAAAAGTAGGACATGATGATGTGATAAAACAGATCACTTTCCTTGAGTTGCCCTGTGTGGAGAGATGCCACTCGTTAATTGATCTGTCTGCAGAGGCTAGCTGAAGAAGGGAAGGGGATCACAGACAAAGTGATTCATAACATTTTTATCACAGTACTTCAGAATCAGTGCAAAGGATTTGTGTACCAAAGAGCTCACGTTTCCCCCCGATGTATGAGAAGACAATCCACCATGTACAAATTCCCTCAGAAATCACAACAGGATACAGTGAAGGGTTACAGATGGCGATATAGGAGTCATATGCCATAGCAGCCAAGGTAAAGGATTCTGTGTCTGGAAAAGCACACAAAAAATAAAACCACAAGGCATGGCCATAATAACAAATAGGTTTGTTCTCTGAAAGGAAATTGGTCAGCATTTTGGGAGCAATGACTGGGGAGTAAGAAAGGTCTACAAAGGATAGTTTGCTAAGAAAAAATTGCACAGAGGACTGAAATCATGGGTTAATCCTGATTAACATCCCTAATCCAGTGTCCCCATTGAAATCATACCATTCAGTGTCAGGACCATAAAGAGCAGGACCATCTACACAGTTCAGGTGGAGATGGAAATTCTAAGAGAATAAGCTCAGTCATCTCAGTGTAGGTACCTGGTATAGATTCCATGTTCTATGATGTTTTGTTTTTATGAGCATTCTAACATGCTAAAATGCCATATTGATGGAAAGAAAAAATAGATACCGTTACAAGGTTATTTCATTGTTTCAACAAACAAACTTATAAACAAGTAATAAAATAAAGAACCTCAGCCACAATCCTTTTCAAATACAAACCCTGAGAAATACATGTAGGAAATTATATGTATTTTAGTTTGATGTAGTCCAATTCATTTATTCTTGCCTTTACTTCCTTGCTTTGGGTCAAACTCATAAAATACTCTGTAAGATCAAGGTCCATTAATTTCTTCTGTGTAATTCAGTGTTTCAAGTCTTATATTTAAGTCTTTGATCCATTTTGAGTTAATTTTTGTGTATGGGGACACACAGTCTAGTTTCATTCTTTTTGCATGTGACTTTCCAATTTTTCTAGCACTATTTATTGGAGAGGCTTTCTTTTCTCCATTGAATTTTTTGACTCCTTTATTGAGATTTATTTGCCCACATGCATTTGGGTTTATTCTGAGCTCTCAGTTCTGTTCCACAGTTCTGTTCCCACACTGTGTTTTGGTTCTTCTGCCAACCATGTTGTTTTAATTATTGTACTCTGTGGTATAATTTGAAGTCTAGGATGGTGATGCAACCAACTTTGTTCTTTGTTTTCCAGATTGCTTTGGCTGTTTGGGGTTTTCTGTGGTTCCATACAACTACAATAATATTCTTGTCTATTTCTTTTAAAATGTCATTAGAATTTTGATAATGATTGCATTAAATCTGTAGATTGTTTGGGGTAATATGAACATTTTAACTATGTTGATTCTTCCCTTCCATGAACACAAAATATCTTTGCATTTCTTTCTGTATTTTTTATTTCTTTTAATAAGCTCTGTAGTTTTCAGTGTATGGGCCCTTCACATCCTTTAAGTTTATTCCTAGATAGTTTATTCTTTTTGTTTCCATTGCAAATGGAATTGTTTTTTTTCTTTTTTTCTGAAATGTCATTGTTATTGTAGCATATGAGAATGCAATATATTTTTATACAATTATTTTTGTATCCTGTAATTTTAGATGGTATTTGTTTATTGTTTCTAATAGTTTTGGGTGAAGTCTTTAAGGTTTTCTCTATAAAGAATCATGTCATCAGCAAAAAGTGACAATTTTATTATTCTTCTTGATTTGTTTGTCTTTAATTACTTTCTCTTGCGTGGTTGCTTTGGCTAGACCACCCAGTCCTACATGAAATGAGAGTGCTGAAAGTGGTCATCTTGTCCTGTTCCTGATCTTAGAGGAAAAGCTCTCAGTTTTTCACCATTGAGTAGGATATGAGACAAGTGTTAGTCCTGTAAGGCCTTTATGATGTCAATATATTTTCTTTCTTTGTTATCGAGTGTTTTAATTATAAACAGATATCTTCTCAAATGCTTTCTCTGCAATTCTTAATATGATTATGTGATTTTTACCCTTTATTTTGTTCATGTGATGTATTACATTGAAATAAATCAAAGACCTAAATCTAAGACCCGAAACACTAAATTACAAAGAAGGTACTAAAGCTATGGATCTTGATCTTAGAGAATATTTTATGAATTTGACTTCAAACACAAGGGAAGTAAAGGTGGAAACAAAGGGGACCATATCAAACTAAAAAGCTTCTGCACATCAAAAGAAACTGCCAACAGAACAAAAAAGCAGCCATCCGAATACAAGATATTTGAAAACAACAGCTCTGACAGAATTTATGCCTAACTTATATATAAACAACTCATACAAATCAATACCAAACAGACCATCCAACTCAAAAATGGGCACAGGACCTGAACAGATGCTTCTCCCAAGAAGAAATACAAATGTCTATCAGATATTTAAAAAGATGCTCAACTTCACTAGCTATTAGTGAAATGCAAACCACAGCTATAATCAGATTCCAACTCACACCTGATAGAATGGCTATTATCCTCATAAGACAAAAAATAACAAGTGTTGGAAAGATTGTGGAAAAAAGAAAACCTCATTCACTGCTGGTGAGAATGTAAACTGGTATAGCCATGTCGGAAAGCAGTTTGGAGCTTCCTTAAATGAAAATAGAGTCACTATATGGCCCAGAAACACCTCTTCTGAGTGCATACCCCCCCCCCAAATCTAAAAAGCTTGAGTGGCAAAGACACATGCACCTCCATGTTCATTGCAGGGCTATCCACAGTGGCCAAAACATGGAAACCATGAAAGTGTCCTTCAATAATAGCTCTTCCATAGAGGATTCAGTAAAGAATATGTGGAACATAGTACAGTGGAACACTGCTTAGCCATAAGAAAAGATGTAATTCTGCCATTTGCCATAATGTGGATGGACTTTGAGAATATCATGCTAAGTGAACTAAGTCAGTCATAAAAAGCTAAGAACCACATGTTTTCACTTATATATGAGGTAAAAACTGAAACTCATAGGTACAGACAACAGTATTGTGGCTGTCAGAGGGTGTGGGATGGGGGAGTAATAAAGGGTAAAGGCAGTCAAACCTATGGTGACAGAAGGTGGTTTGACTTTGGGTGCAAAATGCAATATACAGAGCATGGGTCATAGAGATGTGCACTTGAAATCTATATAATCTTGTTAACCAGTGTCACCCCAATAAATTTAATTATAAAATAAAATAAAAGTACAATAAGTATAAGTGCAAAAAAAGAAATGTACTTAATGGTATTAAGCATCATAAAGCATCATAATAATCACAGGCTGGAGGACTTTGATTATTTAATAAATATCACATGTAGTAAATTATTCCATAACAGTTTTTCTTTCTAATTATTGAGTGAATCATCATGCTGATATTTTGAACCAGAAGATAATTGAGTCATGTTCCCCTTGGGGAAACTCTTGCAGTTTTCATTAATCATTGAGTAAGGGAATATAAATAATCTAAATTACTGTATTCATAGTGTATCTAAACCCTCACTTGCTGATACACAGGTAAGAAGAGAAAAATTTAAGTCACTCGAAAAATATTTTATGAGGTGTGACCTAAAAATGTGAATGCCAAATGTTATAAAATCTCCTTTAGTTGTTCCCTATTGCATGGGTAACTACAGCCCAAAAGATACAAACTATTGAATTTATGTTTGCAGAGTTAAGTAGGAGTTTTCCAAATTGAGTGTCTGCTTTTGTTTTTATGATGGAAGGAGAACGATCAGATTAAAGCCAGAACAATAAAGAAAACATTGGACCTATTCAACTACCTGAGTGCTTGTATTTTGCTCTAATGAAGAAATGATCAATTATCCTTTATTTTGCTAGTTTTGTGATATAGAAGTCATTTCAAGTTAATGCTATTTCATAATATTCTCTAGTTTTAATGTTTAAAGTCTATTTAAATATATATCGAGAATCATGTTTTATTTCACTACGAGTGACAATAGGAGAGGGCAGTTACAGAAGGAGGCCATGATACAGTAAGAGACACTGTAATACTGGGAAATATGCTCAGTGCAGGCCATTATTATTTTTCTCCTCTTTGCTAACTTACTATTTCAATGCTGAGGCAAAGATATTTGGAATTTTCTGCCTTTTATGAAAACTGTGTCTTGGAACTGGTTTGGTATTAATTTCAAAAGCTGATGCTATATTATTAAATTCTTAAAATCACAGACATTTTTTATAACTCTGAATCCTTTCAAAGGATTTTAATATTGACTTATGTATACCAAATATATTTATTTTGGCATCTAAAGGAAATACCTGATTCAACTAAGATTTAGCTAGTGTTCAACATTGTAGTCTTTTACTATCTTACTTTCTCAAGTAAAATTAAGCCCACGGTAATGTGGCAAATGCAATTGTGATGAGCTGTGTGGTTAGAGAAAAAAAACATAATTGGAATAAGATTCATTGGATTTAATCTTGAAAGAATAATATCTCAGTATTTATTAATAATTATAAAACAATATAATACATTTAGCTAAGAATGAAATATTTAGCTGGAGGCTAAGGTCATATATTTTAAATGATTAGTCATAAATTAGTTTTGGAATCCAATATTTGCTAATGTTTAAAAAATAAATATATCTGATGACAAAGCATAAATTATGTAGTCATCACAAATTTGTAACCAAAAAATGACGAATTTGAAAGAGATTACTTTATACATGTATTGCTTTACGCATTTAGTTAGTCTGCCTATATGCTATCATATCTGCTTGGTCATTAAAACATATTGCTATGTTAAAGGGGAATGAACTGTGAAGAGAAAGCCTATTCTCACACCTGACATTTAATTATGGCCAGGGCAATGAACACTCATTTTCAGATCTAAATCCTATGTTAATTTTCCTAAACAGGTATGTCATTGAACTGAGATCAAGAATTGGGGTCAATTTTTTCTTGTGACTTTTGGTCATATTTTTAATACAGACATAATCATTTTCATTAAAGTTTGTATTTCACTGCTTAATTTGGCTTACTGTGATCATTAGCCATAATCCATTAAAAATTCTTGATTGTTCTTTCAGATAAACCTAAGATCTAACAGAGGAAGAAGTTTTTACACATTAGCTCATGAAATGTTACAATTTTGGCAGCAGCGACTCTATAGAACAAAAACTAATTCAGTTTGTTCTCTTTTGAACATAACTGTCAAAATTCAACTTTATTCGCATATTTTTTCAATTTTTACCCCAATGTTGCAGAATAAATATTAATATTCTCATTCTATAGGTGATTAACTTATAGTATATCATTGTACAGCATTACTGAAAGGTCTAGAATGCTGACTTTCTATTCTGATGCTCTGCACACTGATATAGTGTCTGATGTGAATCGCTATCAAAAGAAAATTATTTTTAATCAATCACTTGGTGTTCTATAGTAACTTAATCAGAAAACAGCTAATAGAATACAGTTATAAATTATCAATTAACCTTATAGCTTTGGAAATGTTATGGATTCTCATAGTGAGTGGACACCTATCATTTCCATTTAATTTTGCAGTGAGTGGCATGGACACTTGACCCACTTACTTGTCACTATCTACTGATCTGTCACTTGGAAATTCTACATTGCCAAAAAATAATTTGAGGACATGGCTCAACACCTTGTGTCACAATATTGAGTCACAACTCTGTGTATTCTTTTTGTAGTAAGTAAACTGTAATTGTACAAATATCTTTATGCTTGTTTTATAAGATTTCAACATGAAGAATGTCACTGAGGTTACTACATTTATACTGAAGGGTTTCACGGAAAATTTACAAGGGCAAATCATCTTATTCTTTGTGTTTCTAGCAATTTACCTCTTTACTCTGGTGGGAAATTTAGGGCTAGTTGTATTGGTCATTGGGGATTCCAGGCTCCACAACCCCATGTACTACTTTTTGAGTGTGTTATCATCAGTGGATGCCTGCATTTCCTCAGTAATTATTCCAAATATGTTAGTAGATTTTCTGTCAAAGAATAAAGTCATTTCATTTCTTGGATGTGCAACACAGATGTTTGTAGTAGCTACTTTTGGGACCGCGGAATGCTTCCTCTTGGCTGCAATGGCATATGATCGCTATGTGGCAATCTACAACCCTCTCCTGTATTCAGTTAGCATGTCACCCAGAGTCTATGTGCCACTCATCATTGCTTCTTACATAGGTGGCATTGTGAATGCCTCTACACACACAGTAGCCACTTTTAGCCTATCCTTCTGTGCCTCCAATGAAATCAGACATGTCTTTTGTGACATCCCTCCTCTCCTTGCTATTTCCTGTTCTGACACTCACATAAACCAGCTTCTACTCTTCTACTTTGTGGGCTCCATTGAGATCGTCACTATCCTGATTGTCCTGATCTCCTATGGCTTCATTCTGTTGGCCATTCTGAGGACACGTTCTGCTGAGGGGAGGAGAAAAGTCTTCTCTACATGTGGCTCTCACTTAACAGGAGTGTCAGTTTATCATGGAACCATCCTCTTCATGTATGTGAGACCGAGTTCCAGCTATGCCTTGGACCATGACATGATAGTGTCAACATTTTACACCATTGTGATTCCCATGCTGAATCCCATCATCTACAGTCTTAGGAACAAAGATGTGAAAGAGGCAATGAAAAGAGTATTTGGGAAAAATGGGTTTTTCAGTAAAGTATCTTTTTACAGTTAAAAATGAAGCAAAAAATTGAGATGTATGTTCTATGCCTCAATATTAAAAAGATATGAGGATCCTGTTTGCTTTTCTTGTCAGAATGGCTATCATCAATAAATCAACAAATGATTGTTTGCTAAGACAAGGAGAAAAGGGAACCCTTGTGCACTATGGGTGGGAATGCAGGTTGGTGCATCCACTGTGGAAAGCAGAATGGACTTAATAAAAAAATGTAAAAATGTAGCCCTGACTACTGTGCCTCATCTAGCTGGACATCATCTCACAGACTGAATAGTCTGCAATTAATTTCCCTGTCAGGGCACATGACCAGGTAGTGAGTTCCATCCCCAATGGGACATGTAAAAGAAGCACCCAACTGATCTATGTTTCTATTTTGCATCAATGCTTTTTTTTCACTTCCTCTCTCAGTTCTTCCCCCTCTCCCTTAAAACTAAATCAATAAAATCTTTTCAAAATATAGCTTACAAAAATTTGAAAATAGAACTGCATGATAAAGCGAAGATAAATGGTGATTGAAGGAAACATAATTTGGGGTGATGAACACACAATACAGTTTACAGATGATTTAGTATAGAGCTCTACCCCTGAAACCTATGTAATTTTCCTTAAGCAATGTTAAGTCAATAAATAAAATTTAAAATCTGAAAAGTTGAAAAATATTTCATAAATATAAAAATGGAACTGCCTTAAGACCCAATGATTCCACTTCTGGAAATATATCTGGAACTAAAATGCTAATTTGAAAAAATATATGCACCTCTATATTCATTGCAATGTTAATTAAACAGCCAAGATTTGGAAGCAGCCAAACTGCTTATCAGTAGGTGAGTGGATAAGAACACTTGTTGTACTTTACACAATGGAATACAACTCGACCATAAAACAGAAAGTAATCTTACCTTTTGCAATATCATGGATGGGTGTAGCAGATATTATGCTAAGTGAAATAAGCCAATCAGAGAAAGACAAGTACCATATGATTTCACTTTGATCTGGAACCTAATGAACAGAATAAGGTAACAAACAAAATAGAAACAGATTCATAGACACAGAGAACAGACTGACAGTTGTCAGAGGAGAGAGAGTTTGGGGGAATGGGTGGACAAAGTGAAGGGATTAAGCAGTACAAATTGGTAGTTACAGGGTAGCCACAGAAATGTGAATTATAGCACAGGAACTATGAGGTCTGTCCAGAAAGTATCCATCCACTCAATATTTTAAAAAAAAAAAAAAAGGAGGCATTTGTTGAAGAAGATACAACATGCAAGAAACATCGTATGTAGGACAATGACACCTCAGTCCTCTTCAAAGTAGGCACCTTGGGACCTCACATAGTTCTCCCAATGGCCATCAGCTGTCCCCTCATATTTTCCTGAGTATCACCAATAGTCTGAAATCTCTTCAATTTCAAAGGTGATTTTAGTTTTGGGAAAGCCAGAAGTCGTAAGGTGCCAAATCTGGGTGGTAGGGCTGAGTCACTTGGGTGATTTGATACTAAGCAAAAAACTCTGTATAAAACATGATGCCTGGGCAGATATCCTGTTGTGATGAAGCTGCCAATCACCAGTTACCCTTAATGGCAGCCATTTTCATCATATTACATCTCCCAACCAATGAGGAACTTTGATGCTGTAGTACTGATTAACTGTTTGGCCTAGAGGGGTGTACTCATGAAGGACAACACTTTCAAATTTTAAAAACACAGTTAACATGGTCTTAATATTACTGCAACTTTGCTGCTCCTTCTTTGGCCATGGAGAGCCAAGAGACTTTCATTGGGACAACTGGTCCTTTGTGTCTGGATCACAGCTTTATACCCATAATTCATCTCTCATTATGCTTTTCTTGAGGAAATCTGGTTCATTGGTAGTGCTTTAAATCAAGTCATCAGCAACTTCAACATGATGTTATTTGTCTTGGAAAAAGAAGCCATCGAACACATTTTGCCACAACATATTTTGTGCCAAGATCTTGAGTCAAAATCTCAGACATAGTAGATTTTAGAATCCCCAGGTTACCTTCTATTTCTTGCACTGTCAGTTGCCAATCTTTGTTTGTTGCAGCCCATACACATTGAACATTTCAGGTGTTATGCTTGTTGCAGGCCTTCCAGAACATAGGTCACTTTCAACAGATTCTCAACCATCTTTGAATAATTTGTGCCACATTTTCATTTGTTCGGCAGTCATTGCATTTTTCTCAAAAGCTTTCTCAATCATCTGAATCGTTTTTTCAGAGGAATGCTCAAACATAATGCAAAATTTGAGGCAGATTCACTGCTCTACTCAGTCATTTTGAATGAGATGGCCCCACAGAACACGTACTCACCCCATGGTGTCTACAACACCCACTGATTAGTGCAGTGAAGTCATCATTATTCACACAGGTACCTTCCAGTCCAATCTCCTTGGCTGCCAGGTTACATCAATGTCACAAACCATTCTTGTTACTATTAGTAACAGTGGCTGGAGTTTTTCCAGACAGACCTCAAACAGTCTATGACATTGAGAAAAATATTTGTAGAGTCAGGTGGATACATGAAGCAGTGAGGGGACCACTCTGAATTACATGATTGTCTAACCACTTTGCTGTCCATCTGAAATTACAGCAGAATAATCTTAAGTATAATTGATCATTATAATCTTTATAAATATTCATGCCTACTCTCTGTATATTGTCAGAAGTGAAAAATAGACTTTGTTTGTGCTTTTGAGGAAATAATAAAAAGCAGTGAAATGCACCATCACAGAAAGCATGGTAATGACACCAAGAATTCACAACATTACCTGTGGTCTCCAAACCACAGGCTGTACTTAGAATTGCTGCTAATGCATAGACCAAAGGGAGGAGCAGAGTGCTCTGATCTGGAGTCAGATACTAATGATTCTGTGGTGAATGGTATGTGAGCTATAGTTTTGGTATCAAGCAATTTATAGGTTCAACATAATCCCTATTAAAATACCAATGACATATTTCACCGATATAGAATGAACATTTCAAAAATGTATATGCAACCATAAATGACCCTGTATAGCTTCAGCAATTTTAAGAAAGAAGAGCAAAGTAGGAGGGATCACAATATCTTATACCAACTTATTTTATAAAGCCACTGTAATCAAAACATTCTGGCACTTGCATAAGAACAGACACATAGACCAATGGAACAGAATAGAGAGCCCAGAAATAAACACACATCTCTATTGTCAACTAATATTTGACAAACGGGCAGAAGTATAAAATGGAGTAAAATTAATCTATTCAAAAATGGTGTTGTGATATCTGGACAGGCACATGCAACAAAATGAAACTCAATCACCAACTTACAACATACAGCAACTTACAACATACACAAAACAAACTCAAGATGGATAAAATACTTAAGTACAAGTCACAATACTTAAAAGTCTTAGAGGAGAACATAGATAGGAAAATCTCAGGCATTCCATGCAGCAATATTTTCACTGATATGTCCACTAGATCAAGGGACATAAAGGAAAGAATAAACAAATGGGATCTCATCAAAATAAAAAACTTCTGCACAGCTAAGGGAAACAACCTTAAATGAAAAAAGGACCAAAGACATGGGAAAACATATTTTCCAATGAAACCTTGGACAAGGGTTTGATCTCCAAAATATATACAAAACTCACACAACTCCACTCTAAGAAGACAAGCAACCCAATTAAAAAGTGGGCCAAGGAGTTGAACAAACACTTCTCCAAGGAGGACAAGCAGAGGGTCCAAAGACATATAAAAAGATTCTCAATATCGTTAGCTATCAGAGAGATGCAAATTAAAACCACAATGATAGCACTTCACACCAGTCACAATGGCCATCACAAACAAAGCAAGAAACAACAAATGTTGGAGAGGTTGCCGAGAAAAAGGAATCCTAGTTCACTGTTGGTGGGATTGCAGACTGCTGCAACCACTGTGGAAAACAGTATGTCATTTCCTTAGAAAATAAAAAAAGAAACTGCCTTTTGACCCAGCAATTCCATTGCTGGGGTTATACCCTAAGAATGCTGAAACAGCAATCCAAAATGACCTATGCACCCCAATGTTCAGAGCATCAAAATTTACAATAGCCAAGTGCTGGAAGCAACCTACATGCCCATCAGTAAATGAATAGATCAAAAAGCTATGGTACATTTACATGATGGAATACTAAGCAGCAGAAAGAAAGAAGGAGCTCTTACCCTTTGCAACAGCATGGATGGAACTAGAGAGCATTATGCTAAGTGAAATAAGCCAGGTGGTAAAAGACAAATACCATATACTCTCACCTTTAAAGGGAACCTAATCAGCAAAATGAACAAGCAAGCAAACTATAATCAAAAATACTGAAATTGAGAACAGGCTAACATTGACAGAGGGGAGGGGGAGTAGATTATAGGGGAAAAGCGTGAGGAGTTTGCAGGAACTATTATAAAAGTCATATGGACAATAACAAGTGGGGTGGAAACAAGGGAAGGATGTAGGGAAAGATGGGTTTGTGGGGAGGAGTGGAGGAAAAAGGCAGAAAACTCTACTTGAACAACAATAATAATATGTTAAAAATAATAAATAAAAATAAATAAAATAGAGGACCATTCTGGGAAAAGTGATTCAGAGAAACAAACAAAAAATTAAGTAAACTCCTAGAAGAAAACTAAGAAAAAAGCTAGACTTTGGACATGACAATGATTTTGTGGATGTGATACCAGGACACAATCAACACAATAAACATTGTCAATAAAAGCAAAGCTACTCAAATGAGAATAAATACAACTAAAAATCTGCACACGAAGAAGAAAACAATAGAGTGAAAAGGAAAACTACAGAATGGGAGGAAGTATTTGAAAACCACTAGAATAGACATTTCTCAAACAAAAAATGAAGTGAAAATGACCACAGAGCAATATGAGTAAAATATAAGATCTGACACAGTAAATTACACAGAAAGAAATCACAGGTACTAAATTTATAGATTCTGGGCTTCCAGAATATTTTATGAA